AACATTTCACATTTGCCAACGCACATCCTTGACCGTAATTATATCTTAATCCCTATTAGTAAAAAATATTTAAAAATTAGATTTTGAAAATTTGTAATGAGGTGAATTGAACAATATAATTTTAAAAAAATATTTTTCATAAAATAATAATATAAAATGTAGTCAAAGTAGAACATATGAATAGTGTAAAATTCAACATGTTGCGATTAAAAAGAGACGGAGGATGGTAATTAATTAATAAGCATAGAAGATACCTAGTCCAATTGACTTTACTATTTTTTCTCCTCACTACAGAGTTCTATTATTTTTTATATTAGAATAATGTTATAAATTTGTTATGAATGACACATTCCCATTTTATAACTCAATTTTTCTATGCAAACAATAGATAGCAAAAGACTAAGGTGTATGTACAAGTGTTTCATTTAATTAAACCATAGATATCACATGTTAATATCTTGTAAATCATAATAAATCTAGTATCAAACATTAACTTTCTAATTTAAGAACTACGAACTAAACTAGAAATTATACTTAATGATTAACAAATAAAATAGCATGTTTTAAAAAGTTTGGTTTGTTTGGTTCGATTTTGTTTTCATAAGTGAGAACCAAAATTAAAACCAAACAACTACGATTCGGTTCGATTTTTAGTTCAATTTCAGTTTTCCTGTGGTTCAGTTTGCTTTGCTTGCGGTTCAGATTTAGTCGATTCGGTTTTCGCTTTCGCCGACCCACCCCTACCTCGATTGGTAAAGGGAGCTGCGGCTATGGCTGGATTCTAAGGGACTCCGGTGGAATCTTCTTGGCAAAAGTAGATAAGTTGGGTACAAGTACCCCCCCCCCCCCCCCTCGAAGTTGAGCTGATGGGTATCAGATAAGCCCTTAGTTGGCTACAAAATCAAGAGTGGAAACAGCTTGAGGTGGAATCTAAATATCTGATTCTCTCCTAACCATTAAAGAAACTCAAGACGGTACTAATTTATCCTACTTGGATCTTTTAGCTGAAGATAATAGAGAATTGAAAATGAATTTCGATGGCGTATCTTTTTCTCATGTTAGACGATCTGCGAACCGTGCAGCTCATGTCATGACAAGAGTATTGGGTTCTATGTCTGATTGTTAGATTTGGTTATCTGTTCATCCCTACTTTATTGCTCATTTACTAGATTATGATATGATTAATAGTAATTACTTTTAGTCTTTTCAAAAAAATGAAAAATATCAATTGATTTTCCTTAGTTGCTAAAGTCCAAGGCCCCGAAGCACCGAGGATAAATCAAATTCTAAAGAGAGAAAGACAAAAAATGCACACTAAGGTTGTCTATCGGGCTCAAAATAGACATAACCTCTTAAATAGATCAAATAAACCCATAATTCACCTTTTAGGGTCATTTGTGGACACCCCACTAATTCAACCGGTTAAAAAGTGTTTCTCCTTAACCTCCGTTAGTTTTCAGAAATCAAACAAGACAAAACCATATTATTATTTGCATTCATTCCGCCAAAATTTAAAACTGCAGCAAAGAAGTCCGCAGGCCAAGGGAGTTCAAATTTCAAGTCCATGGCTATACGAGAAAGATGAGAAGATATCTTAGTACTCTGGCTTAGAAGAACGTCGTGTATGTGCTGGCAAGGTAAGTAATATTACTAATATATTCTTGCCTCGTAAAACTATTTTATAAGGAAGAAGACGGTTCTTTCAAACTAAGAAGAAGAAGACGATTATCCCCTTCATGTAAGTGTTATCTGTTGTCTCTTACAACATTTTATTGGTATTTGGTGGGTCTAACATTTCGCATGTCATTGAAGTGGAATGTTATTGTATTACTTCTTTGGTGGTAATGTTCTTCTGTGGTGAATACCTTTTACACTTTTTGGAACTTAGACGCATGGAATTGAAGTGTATTTAAACTTTTTGATAGTTAATTGAGATGTTATATCAAACTCATACTGGTGCAGCATTTTACAGCAATTGTTTTTGGCAATAACATTTTACACCACTTGGACACCTATGTTTGCAGGTTTTATAGTCTGTAGCCTTTTATACTAGTGCATCATTTTTTATTTTCAACCTTGCTATACTGGTGCAACATTATCAGTTTACAAGATTGTCATTTCCAACTTTTTTATACCTTTAATATGTGTAGTAGAGTTTATTGGCAAAATAAATAAGAGTGTGGGGTGTTTTATGTGCATGTTTTAACTAGTGGTCCAGAGTCAATGGCTCTAAAAGAGTAGGAAAACAGATCAAGCGGACAGGTAATGATTGCTGCTTCTTTTCATGAAACTGTTGAAATTTTATAACTATCTTTTTGTTTGCTTGATGCAGACTTTCACTTATGTGAAACTTGAGTACAAATGAGCTATTGTTCCTTACTAATGCCATTCATTGTTTTTGGCTAATGCAGACTTGAAATGAACTATAAAAACTTGTGTTGTTACTGTAGCAAGGGAAAAAATAAAGATGCACATAAAACTTACAGAGATTCCATTTGTTAAAGACAAACCAACATACCAGATCATTAAATGTGCACATAAACGTTTTACATATATTCCACTTGAAGCTTACAATCTAACTTTAACACAATCTAGAAATACAAATTAACCAAAAAGTACACATAGTACTCTAATGAAAATACAAGATAATACTTCGTACAACAATCGAACAATATCTCATTTTATTTCTTTCCCTTTCCAATTCCATATTCTCAACTGTTTTAAAACTCCTCAATAGAAATGTCTCCCTGGATTTTTATCAGTCCATGAAATTCAACGTTGCTTCTATCAGGATTGATTCCTGGGTGTTTGCAATTTCCTTTGCAGTTGAGCATGATGATGAATCTCATAGTCCCATAGTTCGTTCGTGTGCAGAGAGAACAAGATATATGAAGGTGTGAATGGATTAGGGTTGCTCTGTGTCTCAGTTTCTATCTTAATGTCGTTGAACTTGTTTGAGCCGATGACCGGATTGAGAAGAAACTGAGGATGCTGAAATGTGTACTCCTTTACCCCGAGGACATCTTCCAGTTTCTCCAGTTTCAGTTTTGAGCTAAGGGGATGAGGATAAAAATGGGGGTTTTTTGGACTAGGCAACAATAGGATTCTTCTCATTCCCCCGTCTTGTTTCGTTTGTGCTTTGAAAACTAACGGGGCAACACCTTTAACCCCGTCCAGTTAGTTGAGTGTCCACAAATGATCTTAAAAGGTTAATTATGGGTTTATTTGATCCATCTAAAAAGTTAGTGCCCATCTTAAACCTTATAAATAATCTTAGTGTCCATTTTGATCTTTCTCCCAATTCTAAATGAGTTTGTTTGCAATCCAACAATCTTAATAGATTCACCCAACATAAATTTTTTAATTTAATCATTACTTTTACTATTATACATCACTGTTTGTCAATATTTTTTGCTAATACTTTTTTACAAATAATTGAGATTTAAAAATTTAAACATTCCAATGTAAAAATAAATAAATTTAGAGTTTAATTGTGTTGTTGTTATTTTAGACCTAATTTTTTAAAACAACTTAAAGTTGTAAGAAAACATTCTGACAATGAGATCTTATTTTTAGCATTTGGATCTATCTAAGAGAAATTATGAGCGTAAAAAGTTCTGACAATCCTATCTTTAGATTGTTTTAACTTCAAACGTAGTACTCATTTACAAGGACTCCACTTCCACATCGGGATACGCCTTAAGTGGCGTTCATCTTTGAACTCTCTGAACCAAAAAAATAAATATTGGTCTTCATACCCTACACATGCATCTACATCAAGAATAAAGCTTTGAAGTACAAACACTTCATCATCCTCAACTTTCTTCTCCTTGAAAAATGTAGACATGAGCCCACCAGTAACCACCAAGTGAAGAATGCCACCAAGAGTGATTACATCAAGATTCTTTTCATCATTCTCAAGCATCACTTGAAGCTCCTCCTAGTCTTCACCATCAATGTATTCCCTCTTGAATTCAAAGCTAATCGTAAATGTTCCCCGGCATTTACCCCACAATAGGTGGTTTGCCTACCGAGTTCAAAAAAAATATGAATTCAAAGCTAATCACCCAATAATGCTCTACAGATCTCCAAGAAAATACTACACCCTTCTCCTATCTTCACAGATATGGATACCGTTTTCGACAATGTCAAGCTCACCCTCCATATTCATCTCTTCAACTCCCACCATGAATTCCTCCCAAATTGCATCTTCATCACAAATATTTGAGAAATCAAGTTGAGTTCAAAACTTATCTTCTTGAAGCTCATTGTGGATTTCTTCATGGGGTTGAACATTCACCTCACCACCAAAGTTAACGTCAGCTACATGTTCTTGCTCCTGTTGGGTGATCTCTGAAACGCTAAACAAAGCCTCCTTTGAGAGTTCTTGCAACAATTTACAGCCACTGCACCAACACTTAAAGTAGAAGCAATGGAATATCTCCCACGAGAGTGTGCCTGGGTGGATTTTCAATTTCAAGATGAAGATGACATGGTGAAATTTTTTTGTACCAAACTTTTGAAGTCATGGGAAGATAACTGATGCTTAAAAACCTTCTCGAAAGCCTGAGCTTTGAAGATGAAGAGTTTCTTTAGGTCCCCATTTGGCTAAGATTGCCAAGGTTGCCTATGGATTGTATCCCCATTTAGCTAAAATTGCCAAGATTTCCCATAATTGCTAGAATGAGGAATCTATTAACATGATAACCTCTAGAGTTGGTGTTCCTATCCACATGAACATGATTACAAATGAGAAATCTAGAATTGTTTGCAAGGATGTTAGTTGAAGTTGATTATTTGACATATATTATTATTCAATTGATTTGATTATTCAACGTTAGATTCAACATTTTGGGTTGTGGCATGGGTTTGACGTGTGATGGGGCTTTTGGGTTTGGCGGTTGTCATTATTGAGCAGTGACAGAGTTAGGGTTCTTGAAGGAGCAGAGGGGTTTGACCATTAGGCCAATTAGATTAGCTATGGTCATTGGAGGTAGGTGGTTTGGTGGTACGAGTTTAAGGCGATGAGGAGGTCATTGGGGTTGGCCATGTTGGGTGGTGATGAGTTGTGTTTGGGTGAAGGGAAGTCGTGTGACTGTTTGGCATGATGAAGGCTGAAGCGATTTTTGACTTTTTGTCTGAGAAATAGGAGCCACGAATAGGAATGATGTTGGGTGCACTGTGTGGCTTCTCGGTGATGGAAAAGGTAAAACTTCAAACCCGGACTACTTGTTTCTCGCTTGTTTTGCTGCTCAATTTTGTGGACTTGTGGTAATGCAAGGCACGACGTCAAGAAAGGATGTTCAGTCGGGTCATGAGGTTGATGGGGAACGAGAAAAAATTGGTTGCTACATGGAATCCACATCAACAACTTGGGTGGTTTGCATTCTATAGTATGAGAGTTCATTGTCATAATTGCATTAGTATAAGTAAGCCTATTTGACGTTTTTTTCCACGCGAGAAATTTAGAAACACAAAAGGTTGTTGAAACTTTTGAAGATGGTGATAAATTTTATTGACTCTGCATAATCTCCTTAGAACACATGATTACAGGAGAGGATGAAAAAGATAAATCAAATGTTCTTTTACTTCAATTCTTTTACATGCCATCCTTGAATTGATTAAACATAAAATAATAAAAATACAAAAACATATGACATGTGGATAAAAACATATCAATAAAAAATGTATGCAATTACAATAGGAAAATTACTCATCATAATCATGAATCATACATTGAATCATTTAAGATTCTAGGTGACAAGGCTCCCAACATAAGCAAAATCACTAAGTTCAAAATCATTCACATCTACCCAAGGCCTAAAAGCAAAAAAATGTCACCAGATTACAGAACTCATCTTACCGAAAACAGATGAAAGATATTGAGTCTTCGAGCATATTATGAGGAAAATGGTGAGGGTGGTGAGGAACTGAATAATGAAAATGAAAATGATGATGAGGCGCCTGGAGAGAAAAACATGGATATGTCAATAGTAATTGGTCATTATCACAACCAATCGTTGAGTGGACTCCAAATACTAAGTTAAAGAAAGAGTTAATTTTTAAGGATAAGGCTAATTGAAAAGGGCTATTCAGCTTTACTCTATTAAGATGTACCACATGTATGGAGTAGTTGAAACGAAAACAAATGTGTGCGCATTGAAGTGCGTGACACACAAGGAAGGTTCTTGCGGTTGGAGGCTTCGAGCATGTAAGCGTAAGTGCCATCAACTTTTTTAAATAACTAAATATGATGGTCCGCACCGATGTGTGCACCGAAGTTTGAGTCAGGATCACCCAATGTTAGATTCAAATTTATTAGCACGAGAAATTGAAACTGAAGTCAAAGTGGAGCCTTCCATTACAGTGGCAGCCTTAATAGAGACTTCAAAAGATAAGTTCTCTTATGATGTCTCATATAAGAAGATGTGACATGCGAAACAAAAGATAATACATATGTACTGTGTTTGGTGACTGGGATAAATCTTATACAGTTTTACCCAAATTTATTTTTGCGCTTGCAAAATGAAATGACATGATTGTCGTGGGGATTTTTCAGCATATGTTTTGGGCTTTTCCACAATCTGTTGAATGATTCAAATATTGTAGACCAGTCATTAGTATTGATGGAACTCATTTGTATGGGAGATACAAAGGAAAAATGTTGATAGCTATGGGTGTTGATGGAAATAATCAACTAATTCCTCTCTCATTTGCTATCGTTAAGGAAGAATCTTTTGACAGTTAGAGATGGTTTTTTAATTGTCTTAGAGAGAAAGTAACTCAACGGAAAGGAGTTTGGTTGATTTATGATCGTCAAACAGGAATTACTTCTGCGGTAAATGATCCTTATTCCGTGTGGCGAGAACCTTGGGGTTATCATTGATATTGCTTACGAAATACGGAGTATATGCAGTAATTTCAATGACAAATTTCGCAATAAATAGTTGAAAGTGGTTGTGTATAAAGTAGGAAGTGCACATCAAGTGCGGATAACAAATTGTATTAATAAAACATAGAAGTGAATGCAAAATATAAAATAAAAACATAAGAATTACCTAGTATAGACGTGAATGTCAATCCACTTGTTTCTCTTGGTTTTACGTGTTCGTCTATCATGACCCGACTCTTCACAAAGGTCACACCGTGTTTTAGTTTTAACTTTTTTATATCCAACTCTTTTCTAATTCGTGTGGACTGTGGTCGTCCTTTCTTTGAATGCCTACGAGTAGGATCTGACAACAATTGAGGAATATTTTTTTCTGGTTAATAGTCCTCATGAGGGATTGGGCAAACTGAGTGGCCCAAGTTTGAGAGTAGTTGTGAATTGTGTACTAATCTTTAGTGTACTCCCAAATATCAAATGTTAGCTGCCCACATACTGTCATTACATGTGAACATGGAAATTTATAAATTTATCACTTTCAACAACTGCATGTTTTTTGAGCAAGATGGACTACTTGTTTATTGTGCCCTTTTTGCATCCCCTCTCCATAAGGGGCAGTTACTACTTCACAAACTCTTTGTACTCTATCAAACCGAACAATATCATGTGTGTTTGCCTTCACCCGATATCCTTCAAGTGTTTGCAAGAACATGTGGCGTATACAACATTCTGTCTCATTTGGAAAAAAATTAACTTACCTATAGAAGGTTAATTAATTGCACACATGTTGTAATAGACAAGTTCTGAGCACCTTTCAACACACTGTTGAACACCTCAGATAAGTTGGTGGTCATTATTCCATAACGCTGGCCTCCATCATGAGCCAATGACCATTGTGGTAGAGGAATCTTGTCCAACCATTTACGAGTGTCAGGGTTGATGTTGCCAATCTCTTCCATTATGGCATCAAACTTCCGCACTTGATGTGCACTTCCTGCCCCACACACAAGAACTTTCAACTATTTATTGTGAAACTTGTCATTGAAATTACTGCATATATGTCGTAAGCAATATCGATGATAACCCCAAGGTTCTCGCCACATGGAATAAAGATCATTTACCGCAAAAGTAATTCCCACGTGACGATCAGAAATCAAACAAACTCCTTTCCGTTGAGTTACTTTCTCTCTAAGACAATTAACTACTTAAGAAACCATCTCCAAATGTCAAAAGACTCTTCCTCAACGATAGCAAATGAGAGAGGAGATAGTAGATTATTTCCATCAACACCCATAGCTATCAACATTTTCCCTTTGAGTCTCATCAATACTAATGACTTGTCTACAATATTTGAATCTTTCAACAGATTGTGGAAAAGCCCAAAACATACGCTGAAAAATCTCCACGACAATCATGTCATTACATTTTTCAAGCGTGGAAATAAACTTTGGTAAAACTTTATAAGATTTATCCCAGTCACCAAACACAATATGTATTGCCTTTTGTTTCGCATGCCACATCTTCTTATATGAGACATCATAAGAGAGTTTATCTTTTGAAGTCTCTATTAAGGCTCCCACGGTAATGGAAGGCTCCATTTTGACTTCATTTTCAATTTCTCGTGCCAATAAATTTGAATTTAACATTGGGTGATCTCAACTCAAACTTCGGTACACACATCGGTGCGGACCATCATATTTAGTTATTTCAAAAAGTTGATGGCACTTGCGCTTACATATTTGAAGCCTCCAACCACAAGCACCTTCCTTGTTTTCGTTTCAACTACTTCATACAGATGCACCGGTGCCTCTTAATAGAGTAAAGTTGAATAGCCCTTTTCAGATCAACCTTATCCTTAAAAATTAACCCTTTGTTTAAACTCAACACTTGGAGTCCAAGCAACGGTTGGTTGTGATAATGACCAGTTACTAGTCACATCATCATTAATAGCATCAATATTGTTGAAGACGTTTTTCCTCTCCAGGAGCCACCTCATCCTTTTCATTTTCATTATTCAGTCCCTCATCACTCTCATTGTTTTCCTCATAATCTTCCTCCTGTTCAATATATTCTTCCAGGTCAACAGTCTCATTATCAACATTCATATCAAAAAATGTAGCTTCACTTTCAGAATAATTCATTTGTTGCACTGCATTCATGTTCATGCTTACAAAATTTGAATCAAGTTAACAAGGAAAATATTATACTACGTACAAAAATAAGAGTGATCAATTTCAAATAGTTAAATAAAACTATAAGTTTGATGCTATCAAAAAAAGAATATGAATTCATATGTTTAAATCAAATATTAAAAAGATCACAAATGAAAACGGTGAGATACATTCAAACAACTAAATTTTTAGCTAGCTTAAAGTACAAAGCGATTACAAGTAAATGTGCCGGTATGAAATAAAGTATTTTAATATTAAGTAAAATCTTATTCGTAGTAAATGTGCCGGCATGAAATAAAGTATTTTAATATTAGTAAAATCTTATTCGTAGTATCATGGCAACTAACAAGGACTACAAAATTTTATGTGTTGTGTATTATTGGATCAGTTTATGAGGTTCCTAAAACTGAAAAATTAAGTGAACAAGTCATAAACTTTTCACTTCAATTGTATACGCCTAAACTGTTATCAATGTAATTTCTATGAAAAGTTGAATGTGTGGAGCTGTAAAATTGATTTTGAACCCAGAAATTTGTAAAACAATTAGAAGAGTTGTGATACGCTATCAATTAACAAATATTTATTGAATAATCATTAACACACATGAACCGGAATAGGAGAATTAGAGGAAAATGAAGATGTGATGAATTTGAATGGAGAAGCGGACAATATCCATAGGAGAAGCAGACGAGTCAACTTCAATGCAGCAGAAAACGTAAACCGTAAGTCGAATAATATACTCCGTAGTGTATTTGTAAAAGAAACGATTACGTAGTATTATATTTGTGACCTGAAGCTGCATGACTCAAATAAATTTAGAGAAGATAATTTAAAAGAAAGTGTATTGGGGGAGTGGTGTTAGAGTTGGGACTTTAAGCAGTTCACCTGGATTCAATACCCACTGGGCACTTCTTCTTTTTCAAATCAATGAATAAAAAGTAAAAACATTAGGGGTTGTTTACTAACATAGTATTTTCAGAAAACTGGAAAAGGGAAAATAGGAGAACGTGTTTACCGAAAATATTTGATGGAAAATTGGAGAAAGGAAAAAAGGAAATTGCATTTACCAAATCATTTTTCAAAACCAAAAAAATGAGATATGTCTCTATTTTTTTCTTAATGAATTGCAAAAGTGAGTTTTACTAATTTTCCAAATTTGATGTGTGCATAAGTGAGTTTTACTAATTTTCCAAATTTGATGTGCGCAAACGCGGCAGTGCTGCTACAACGAATTTGCGTACTTACACCTAGTGGTGGACCCAGTCCCAATCTGATCCAGTCCGGTCCGATCGATGACAGAGCAATCCTAGTCCGGTTCAGTCGACGACTTGGCGATCCTTGTCCCGGTTCGGTCCCCACTTTTTTAAAAGAGCTGTTGGGTTGTCAATCAATAAGGAAAAGGGAAAAGAATTAGTCAAACTAGCCGTTGGGACCGACTGGCACCAGCCAGCTTCAATCCCAACTTTCATATACTCGGGATGGGTACCTTATTTGGGTTGTACCAAGTCGAGCTCCTAACCAGGACCATACTTTCACTCTCTCAGCTAGTCCCAGAACCGAGTGAAAAAACTTTGTTAACATATTTTCATATTTGAAAATGAAAAACTGTAAAATGAAAATAGAAAAATGGAGGATGAAAAACTGAAAAATCAAAATAGAAACATTGAAGAACGAAAAACAGAAAAGAAAATTGAAAAATATCTCTATTAGTAAACGGGACTTTAATGATGGGATGTCAAATACATACTTGGAAAAGGAAACATAATGCTGAACGATGCTTCCTTTGACTCTGTCCCATTGAAGATTGCCAACTTTGACTTACACGTGAGAAAGTAAAATTATGCAATTGAAATTTGTGTAGAGGATAAATAAATAAGTGGAACCACACATTAATTACTTTAAAGGGTGGAATTAACAATCAAAAAAAGAAAAGTTGATAATGTCTAGTCGAACAAAGAGAGTATTATTTTCTTATTTTTGGACTTGTTTGTTAAAAAAGTAAAGTCAAATATGATTAATGTTTTAAACTTTTTCAACTATGTTGAAATTACTATGTATTTATACAATACAATGCAACAACAACAACATCCAAGCCTTAGTCTCAAAAGATGAATCGATACATGATAAATCAATACATTGTATTTATACAATACAATGAAATGAATAAAAATGAATTCTCACAATATTAAAAATAAAATTACTGAGTTTGAACCAATGTCTTGTTCTCCTGGACAGATTCTTTCCTCTGAAATTCTTTCTACATTTTCATCCCCGTTTATTTCTCTATCATTTCACATGTTACAAACAGACTGTAAGGGATGGCTACTTATGGCTGTCCAAATAACAATATGCATGAATTCAGAACAGTAAAAGAAAATATTCTGTTTCCGACAAAAGACTATGAATTCATTTTCTCTTTGGTCCCAGGTTTTCATTTTTTCACCTCTGGTGCATGACCATAGATTTCTTACAACTTATGATCCTCCGGAGTGATGAAAAAGTAACCAGGAATTGTGTGAAGAAGTGATAGGAAACACAAAAATGGTATGGTTTCTATAGTCATCCACCGAATGAATCTTTTCATAAATCACGTGAAGCTAACAGGAGTAACAATCTAGTAGGGAGTAGTTGCCAAAACAAAACTAATGAAAAATAAGTATCTACTCATGAAATAATATAATTAAAAGTTTAGTTCAAGCTATTGTTTTAGGTGAGGGTTTAAATTCCGCTAGTTGAGAATATGATACATAATAATGAGTATAGAGAAGAGGGCCTGAGGTACAAAAATGGGCTGCTTCTATGTTCCCACTTATCAACTAGAATACTCAAGATTTCATTCAGTCATGGTTTTCATGGTTTGTTATTGCAGTACCTATGTTGAAATGTTGACGATTTGTAGAGGTGAAGTCCACATTGCTAGTGGCCCTTTATAGAAACCGCGAGTTAGTTTCCAACTTGGGAAATTGTCAAGAAGGTAATGCCTAAACTACACCAGATGAAAGATACAAAATTACTACAGATGAGTAACTAACAGTATTATGTGACAAAATTAACTTTTCATTTGACGGAGGAGGCTATATGGATTTGATAGTTGATACTCCATCTGTCCCGTAAATGATCTCTTCCACTTCTGTCCATCCCGATACTATATTCTTTTTCCTCTAAACAATTGAAAGCTGTAACTGTCTAACTGATATGCCTGAACTTACTGAAGTGCTGAACGAATATATGTACAACAATTTCTCTTTATAAATTAAAGAAAATTACACATCAACTTAAGTCAGAAGTGTCATTTCATTCAATTTAAGCGATGAAGTTTTTGATGGTGAAATGTGGCAAGGCAAGGGTACCAATGTGTGGTATGAATATTAGATCTCCCCAGCTACAAGAGCTATTAATTCCCACCAAAACCATTTGCACAAAACAAGTTCAGATACTTCAGAAAGAAGAATGTGCCAGTGTGCCACAGATAAAGAAGCTACTTATATCTATAAGTCACAAGAAAGGGAGGAGGAGAGGCGGGCAAAGCTAGAAAATTTGGAAAGTCACATATGCAAGTGTACCATAATAAGTTTTGTATTGCGGGCAAAGCTAGAAAATTTTAGACCGGAAGGCCAAAGCGACTTATGTTAACATGTTTTATAGATACGAAGTAGTAATCATCCAAAGTATTTACACATACATACACCATAATTTGATATTCAAACAGAACCATTCCATCATGTTAACATGACAACAATACAAACAACAGCAGATAAAAGATGTGCATGACAAAACAAAGCTCAATATAAAGTTCATACCTTTTCTCTGAGATTCCCCCATTAAGTTTCACCACTCTAGTTCAGCTACTATAAAGTATAATCTACATCTATTCTTGAGAGAATCACTCCTCCTCATCGCTCTCATCGCTAAAATATCCTTTTTTCTTCCCTCTTTTCACTTTCTTCTTCATTTCCTCAGTGTCCCCTCCACTTAGTAACCTTTCCCCTGCATCTCCATCAACGATGGAAGCCCAATTCTCCTCTTCAAAAGCCTCTCCTCTACCTTCTTCATCTTCCTCGTCATCTCCCCAACCCCGTTCCCCAATTCTATCCTTACCATCAACCCCGCCTCTCCTCCGCCCTTTCTTTGACGGCTCCGGCCTTTCCCTCCGGCCAAGCTGATTCTTTGGGCACTCATAAGACAAGTGCCCTTCCTCACCGCACTCATAGCACCGACTCTTATCCGGGTACACCTTCCGCCGAATAAACTCTGCCGCCCGGCCGTTATCAGATGCAATCGAGGCGGATAGAGTCCGGCCGTTGAGGAGTTTTTTGTCAATTCCTTTGACAGCTTTGACCGCATCCTCGCGGGAGACGAAGAGGACGAACGCCACGCCGCGACTTTTCCGGGTATCTCGGTCCTTGAGAACGGTGACCTTTGCGACCTTGCCGAAGGTAGAGAATATAGTGTGAATGTCGGAATTGGTGAGGGAGAAATCTAGGTTGCTGACGTAGACTGTTGATTTAGAAGGGGCTAAACGGCCGCTTCCGCCACGAGGAGTACTCGAGGCGGTGGTTAGGGTTTTGGAGGAGGACGGTGGGGGTGGTAAGGACGCTGCGGCATAACGGTAGTAAAAGATGTCGTCTTCATCGTCGTCGTCGCCGTGGTTTCTCTTCCGCGACATTACTGACGTGTCTTTCCAGAGTGTGGATCGGGCTGATCTCACAGAGGCGAGTGAGACCCGAAATGAAAAGCTTCCAAACTAGGGCAAAAAAAAGGATACTACCTCAATCCCCTAAGTTTGGAACAAAAGAGTGTGTTGCTGTTTTTAAGAAAAAATAAAATTGTGTGTTTGATATTGAATTGATAAAGTGTGAATAAAGTAAGAATGATTTATAAACACTCAAATATTTCCTAATATAGTATGGGACAAACTTAATGGGACGGACGAAAAAGAGAAAACGGGACAAAGTTAGGGGGGCGGAGGGAGTATTACCGGACTAAAAATGTTAACGGACGTGTTTGATAATAACGGCCTCAGCTAGCTAATAGTCGTTCAATCATCATATTGTAGTAGCGAATTCCATTAGTGATGGAGTATATGGACTCCGACCCTCCGGTCTGCCGACTATTGGGCCTGGACAGCGGCCCACACACGTTTAGCGGATTCATATTATTATACATTATTATTGTTCGGATGTTCTAGATTAGCTTTTTATACTATCAGTCCCTTTATGTAACCGGTCTGTCAAGCCCATATTAGAGGCTTGTAAACAAAAGTCATAGATTAGCTTTATTCATTTTATACACTTATCTCCTTCTCTACATTCTTGTTCAAATCTCTCTAAATTATACAGTATGGGTATCGATTATCCATCAAATGGTGCTCTCGTTGAGAGTTTGAACAGAATCAAGTGAGATCCCTCCCTAATTATCCAAAAATCCATCCATAAAATCATGGAAAATTCCCAAAAAAAGAGAGATGAATCTGGAAGTTCTTATCTGAGAAGTCCCAGATCTGGCCGGAGCTGTGGTCGCCATCCAAACTGTCGCCGCCGTGCGCTACAAGCTGACGCGCCTACCACTGCACTTGGTCTCAGAACAAACGCTGGAGGTCTCCGTTTAGATCTCACCTGCACTGCTCTAGGTCACGCCGCTGCTCTGAATCTGATTCTCTCAAGGCGGTCCACCATTGATGACTATCTGAGAGCTCATGGGAGGGATGAACGACCCTACGTATGATTTTGTCGCCTCTGTCACCGCCTCACCCGCATCGCTTATTGTCGCTCCACCACCACGGCGGCGAGATCTGGAAATGGGTTGTCGGTTGCAAACCTCCTCAAATCGGGTGAGCTAGTGCAAGGTTTCTGCCATTAATAGCCACAACAAACCCAGTGCAAAGTGTCGATCCAGATCTCCCCGGGCCGGAGTAGTTTCGCATAGAGCAACAGTAGTTCTACCGACCCCTCCAACACACTCTGGCGACAACGGTGCATGAGGAAACCAGCAAAACGGCTGCCACAGCTGGCTGGCTCCTCGACCCCCTCCGCTCCACTCCTGCAATGAATGATTCAAGAAGCAGGCAAGAATGATTCGCTCGACCCATTAAAATTTATCCAGAGTCGTGCATCTTTTTTGGGCCAAAGTCCAGGAATTTCTTCTTTTGAATGAGTTCCACAACAACCAAAGAGCTAAATAGCTAAAAACTCTTCTTAATTATCTTCTGTCAGGCCCCGTTTCAGCTCAACAACCTGGCATCACACATGATGGGCTCCATCCGTCATTAATGGTGATTTGAGCTCCGCGAGAGAAATTCGTCCAAAAGTCTCCTCACGTCCAGCGGCGCTGCAGCCTAAGGGATCTCCAGCAGCAAAAGTAGCAATGGAATCAAGTAGGCCATCGACTTTCTCCTGTGACACATGCTTCCCGGCAGCTGAGAGCATATCCGGCTGATGGGAGATTCATCGGTTTTTATCAGCTTCCTCCGCATCTCCTAGGTCTTGAGGAGTTGGCTAGAGATGCATCTAACTTGGACAATTGGGCCTCTAACATGGAGTCAAAAACGGTGGGTGCAACTGAACAAGCGTCCCCTTGCCCCCTTTCTTCGTCGATATCGGATAGAGGCCACCAGCCAAGCTGTGATGGAATCTCCCTTGAACCAACCACACCAATTATCGCAAGAGGAAGTTGATAGCCTCCAGATGTGATGGCCGACCGTAGCCACATGATGGATGGCCAATTTGGCCAAGTCAAAATTGAAGAGTGGAGTCCAATCTAATTCCACGACACTCTTAGAATGGTGGGAGCCGCTATTTCAGAAGGCTTTTCCAACCCATATGGATCATCTTCTCCAACCTAATTAATATCCGAAAGATAAGTACCCTTTAATTTTTATATTATTTATATTTATTTAAATCTTTTTTTTTGCCGGGTGAATGTCACACTATCACACACTTATGATCAAATGCCTAGTAGAGTGTCGCTTGAGACTCATCACTAGGATTTAAAGCCCTAACCCAGATCAGGCACAAAGCCCTGACCAAGATCAGGCACAAAGCCCCGACCAAGTCGGGCACGAAGACCGGTCTTAGTCATTCCTCGAGTGGCGACCGTTGCTTACGAATGGCTATCACATCCATTCTATCAAGTATTTTATCATTAAATTGGCAATTCACATTTCCACTTGTTTCAAGTAACGAACTCCCGATCGGAAACATAAATGTGTATGTACAAAGATGACTTTACTCATTTTCACCTCGTCTCCACCCGCTTCAAGGAGTGGGGGACTAGGGGACTGAGAGGTCAAAATTTCTAGATGAGCAGAAAATATCACGCATGAGCAGGAACGAGAGCTGAGTCGGTTGAAGAGGAGTTGAGCTAGATTGATTATGCCGGAGGGGACTTGCCTTCCTTGTTTCATGTTGGGGGCGCTAAGTGTACTCTTTTTCCCTTTATTAGAATTTTTTCCACTGAGTTTTTCCAAGTAAAGGTTTTTAACGAGGCACCGCCCCATCATGGACGAGGGTGGAGGTCCCCCGGCCGAAGAGGAAGAAACCAAAGACAGAAGAAAATTGCAAATACAACTGTGGACTACTCCCTTTCACCTCGAGTACTCTCGGTTCAGGGAGTGGGGGACTCCTGATGGAGTACATGGACTCCAACCCCCCAGTCTGCCGACTATTGGGCCTGGACAGCGGCCCACACACGTTTAGCGGATTCATATTATTGTACATTATTATTGTCCAGAAGTTCTAGATTAGCTTTTTATACTACCAGTCCATTTATGTAACTAGGTCTGTCAAGCCCATATTAGAGGCCCGGACCCGGATTTTCCCAATATATACTCCTTATAGGAGCCTTATAAACAGAAGTCATAGATTAGCTTTATTCATTCTATACACTTATCTCCTTCTCTACATTCTTGTTCAAATCTCTCTAAATTATACAATATGAGTATCGATTATCCATCAGTTAGCTTTTTTAAATAACATCTTTCATTAACAGTTGAAATAATTTGTTAGTAACTTAATTGTTTGTAATTACTACCTTCGTCCCCCTAATATTGCGATGGAAGAGAGTGGCGTGGTTTTCAAGAAAAGCGGAATTATGTGATTGATAATGCATTGATAAAGTGAGAATAAAGTAAGATTAAATTAGAGTCACACCAATATTACCAAATATAATATGTGACAAAATTAGTGGGACTGGCGAAAAATGAAAAATTGGACAATTATAGTGGGACAAAGAGAGTTACGTTGCTTTTAAGACGTAAAATGGTCATTAAAGATATGAATTTAAAAGTTTATATATTTAACTTAATTTTATTTCTTTCATTTTTAATAAGTCCCGGAAAAGTTTTAAAATTTTTATTTACTTTTATTGTAAATAACTACTAACACTGTCATTTTTAAGATATGCACATTGACGCGAGCACACACATCTAAATTCATATATTTAAGCTATTAATTTTTTTAAATATGACAATTTATTTGTTTGTTCTAAATCTACTCCATTTATTAGTTTTTTTTAATCTACTCTAAAATTTTACTCCGTATGACTATTTATTAGTTTTTTATATAAAAAAAAATCTACACAATTGTTATTTAAAATTAAATAAACGTAAATATATTTTTTAAAACTTTTTTCAAGACTTATTAAAAACAAAAAAAGTAAAGTTAAATATATATATATATATACACACTATTAAATTCATATCCTCAATGATCATTTTACGCCTTAACATTTAATTTAAGGATACATTTTATTTCAGTTAAGTTACTAAAATTTAATTTCAAACCTTTACAAAAAACTAATAACTAGTCATATTTAAAATATTAATACTAAAAATATATGAATTTGTATATGTGTGCTTGTGTTAATGTACGTATGAAATCACAGTAGAAAGCCTGAAAATGTCAATTTAAAAATACTTAGGATATGAAATGTCGGGAATTCTAAATTAAAATCGATGACCAAAAGTGTCTCTCTCACAAAAAATTGATCAATTTGTCACTAAGGCTTCTTTTTTGACCAATACATCTCAAATGGTATTATTACTCCATATGTAGGATTTAGTTTTCATTAAATTTAGGGAAAACTGTCAAATAGGTTCTCGAACTTTCATAAAAAAGTCAAATAAATCCTTATATAGGAGGCTCAATCCGGCCGTCGCGATTTGAGGCCGTTACCGGTGGAATTTATATAGGAGAACCTATTTGACAATTTTCTCTTAAAATTACTACGTATTAACTAATTTTCTAAAAAATGTAAAATTATTCTCAAAACATGGGAAGTATGTTATTACCTTCATCCCATTTTATTTATCTTATATTTATTTGACACAATTATTAATAAAGTGATTGAAAAAATAAAAATTATAATTGAAGTCTGAGAGTAATAAAGTGAAATAATGTAAATTGTGCGTTACTTTTCAAAATATGAAATAAGATACCTACTTTGAACAACTCAAAAAAGAATATAAAACATAAAATAGGAGGAGAGATGTGATTACCCAAACTTGAAAACTCGTACTTTGATATCAAAGAATATGTAAAACCATAGACCATATATTTTGACATAGCATGTAAACGTAAATTTTGATAGCATGTAAATGTAATTTTGATATGCATGTAAAGGACCTGAACAAGCAAATGAATCTAACAGTATAACATATTTAAATAGCACCACTTGGCGTGGGTTCGTATTCACTTCATAGTCAAGTATTGTACACTCCACACAAAAATGTATTTACTTTAAGAATTACCATCATTCACCTGGCTAGAGAAGTGTTAAATGCAAATGCTGTGAACATCCCAATATCCCATGAGTGATGTAAATGACATGATTATACAAAATTTTAAGGAAAGATAAAACTGCAAAAGTGGTTGATTTTTGGACTCCTCATAGTAAAATTAAGACAACATTAAAAACGCAATATGTACGCATGTTACCATGTTCCAAGCATTATTTAGAGGGAATCAAAGTTTCTACAGTTGCCATGTTACATGCCTTACCTGGCCTTTTACAGTACACTAATTTTTCCTTTTTGACCAAAACACACACTATACAGTAATAAAGTTACAAACAGTGTGGCTTAAGAGGGGGGCAAGCTAGGCCCGAGTGATCACAGCAGAGGCCATGGAGGTGATTCCGCACATGCCATGGCCTCTGCACATCCGGAAATATCCTTCCTCTCCCCAATTCTTTCCCCACGAGTTCTTGATGATCCAATACGGCCTGTAGCCTAACCTCAGGATGGAGAATCCTTTTGAACCATAACCAACAAGTAGAACCCCATGGTTCAGCAGCCTCTTGCTACATATGAGTGGGCATGAAACACCTCCCATGTATGTCTGCATGTATCTTGCATTTATCCCCACTGCATTCATACATCATCATGTTTCAACAAACTAAAGTAATTGGCCTAAAAAATAATAATTATAAAGCTAACCCGGTTTAACACCTCAAACTAATTCATCTCCTTTAAAAACTAGTATCAATAGAGCACTTTTGGCTCTCATCTTAAAGAGTCAAATCTGTTGTAACTTATAACGATTCGATTCAACCAATCAGCATTCCTCATACTCATATAAAAAGATAAGGAGTGCACAAATTAAAGGGCACAAAGCATAAATAGAATAATACCAGCAAGAGGGCCATGATTAACCAAATAAGCAGCCATTTGGCCCTCATCAGCCGGAACTGTGGTGAAATTCCCAACCTTGACCACCACTTTCTCTGATTGAAATTTGCATTCGCCGCCTTTTCCAGTGTAAGGATAAGAGGCATCTTCCTCTATACCTCCAGACTCTATCAGATACTTGTAAGCATTTGTCATAAGGCCTCCTGAACATCCATCATCACAAGAACTCCTGTCGTGTATATCACACTTCACAGGCCATGGAAGTAATCAAAAGTAAGTTAAATTGAAGTAACTTTTGTTTAAAGAGTTTGCCGCACTGAGGAAAATAATACAAAACAGGTAACTTTTGTTCTGTATATTATAAATTTACTCATTTCTTATCTATAATTTAAATTAATATGTGAATTTTGCCACTCCAGTTTCACAAAAATATCTCCCTTCTAGTCTAGTCCTGGTCTGATTTGTTCTCTTTAAGTCTAATTTGGTCTCTTCTCTTTAAGTCTAACTTTATCTCTACTGCTACACTAATTTTGTATATATACTTTGGCTTGAAATTTACATCAACTTTGTAAATCTACTTTGGTTGAACTGGTCTGACCTCTTTATGTCTAGTATGTTCCAAACTAAGTATGGTCTGATCTTCTTGAATTCGTCTATTTGCTTCAAGTCCATTCTTATATGGTTTGTTCCTGTTTGGTCTGGTTTTAAAAAGTCTAGTAAGATGTGGTGTTAATTTGTCTAATATGATCTAGTGTGTTTAAGCTCATTCTAGTCGAGATTGAAATAAGTTCAAGTGGAAATGTCCCGATAGCGGTTATAGATTTTATATATAAACAGTGTGTAACTGTGTACCATGTGATCACAATCCACAAGTTGTTGCTCACTGAGATTGAGTAGCTTCCCTGTTGCAAGGAAGTTAGCTCCTTCAATGGCTCCTGTGGTGCTAAAGGCCCAACATGACCCACAAGAACCCTGCATCATTTATACATCAACCGATCAATGCACGAATCTGGTACATTTTGACATCAACAAAGGGAAATTTATGCATGCTTCTCTACCCAAATCCATTCTACTTCTCTAGAAATTAGAGAGTGCAAATAATGTTTGAAACATCTGCTGCTTGACCTTTATGCTCTATAAAGTGCACTTAAGTTAATCTAGTGCAATAAAGTAAACCTAAGTTTTAATAAAAACTAGGTTAACCTAAGTGAACCTAGGTTCATGCGTAAAATAGTGTTTGGAAATAAATAAGGTGAACGTAGTATGTAGGTTAATGTAATAAATGTTGTTTAGATGAAAGTACTTTAGCTTATTTTATGTTGAACGGGAACTTAACCTCCAAAACCCCCCACTTCGGAGGTTCTTCAATTTGAGGTGTTTCCAGGTTCTCGGGAGTTATGTGAGGTTAAGTCATAACCTAAGTTCTCATTGCAAAAACACAAACAAACGAGGTTAACTAAAAATTAAACCTGCAATAACCTAGGTTAACCCCCAAACAAACAGGCCATTAAGATCTTTTGTCTCCCTTTATGTGTAACTAAGCAATCAAATACTTGTAACTTATCACTACTTGAATTCTATCCTTGAACAGATACACACTCCATTTATCTATTACTCCATTCATCCCGCTGAGATTGTTTCATACCTTTTTTTTTGTCTTTTTTTTTACTTCAGGGGATCTTGGGGGGCTGGGGGAGCCTGGAATAATCACGGCTGAAACTCAATCCATTGAGTTTCCAACCCTTGTGTGCCTATCGGGATTCGAACACGATACCTCCCACTAGGCACGTTAACCTCACAACCAACTGGGCTGGAATGCTTGGTTGGTTGATTGTTTCATACCTAATTTGGTAAAGTTTACGGAGTATATGACTCTAAATCAATTCTAGTTAATTTTTACTTGATAAATCATCACACAAACTCACTTTTCTTGGGCTTTGTTTGCAACCACTTAAGAAAAGTGATTTTGGCTTTTTTTTTAAAGAAAAACGCACTTATTTTACCAAACACTACCAACTTTTACTTTCTCGGCTTCCGTATAGAATCTACTTTTTACTTTTTCTATTACACAAAAAGCACTTATTTTACCAAACACTAACAACTTTTATTACTAATCACTTTTTATCAAACTTTTATTTAAGCACAAGTGGTTGCAAACAAAGCCTTAATGACCGCACGCCTGCTCTAAAGAATTTATTAACATCTCATTCTAATTAATTAAAATAATGCTCAGTCACAGAATTTATTCTCACCTGCATCTTAACTTCAGTTACAGCCCCTTTATCCCTCCAGTCAAAATTTACCGGCAAGCCCTCAACGTCCAGGAGCGGCGCTTCCGTGCTGCCTCCGAGTAGGGAAGCCCGTCCTCTGCCGCTGAATCCCATGTACATCCTTTCAAACTCGTCCTCGGTGAGGTCTGAGAACGGAGTGACGCCGTGGACGGCTGTGGGGTCCATGATTTGGTGTTCCGCCGCCCTGATCAGGTTTTTCGCGAACACTCCCAGACGGTCCACGTATTCCCCGTGCGTGGGGTACTCTTTCCCATACTCCAGCAAGAAGGATTTGAATCGCACCTCAGTCGGAGAGCCGAGGAGGTTAGCGGCGGCGCCACCGATTTCGTTGTCGGTGACTTGTCGGATATTAAAGTCCGTGGAAGGTGAAGAGAGCTGGAAGAGTGCGCACGTTAGTGCACTGAGGATTAGCGCGGCGCGCGTTAAACTCTCACCGGCCATTCTGATAGTTGATGGGTGTCTCCGCCGTTTCGGCTTTCAAATGCTTCTTTGTTTTGAAGATAACTCCGGCGGGGGTAATTTGGAGATTTAAATTCATCATGGTGGGGCCGCTTAACGCTTTATCATCATCGTCCCGAAAATACTCGTGTCTCGCCCTCTTTGCAAAGCACGTGTCTTGGGGGAGGTACTTGGCGCACCTGAAGCATCGCTTTAAGCAATCATTCTTATCTTTGTTCACAAATAATACGTGCGCAAATAGTAAAAATAAATAAAAAATGATTTAGAGTCATAAAAACTTTATCAAATTTAATATTATGTATGAAACAATCCTAATAAAATTTCTCAAATAGGAAAAATGAGACAATTCTAACGAAAAGGAAGGAGTACTTCGTGTATTTTTTCAAACAAAACAAATACGTAGTACTTTGAAATATTGGGAAAGGATAACCCAATAGGAGTCTTGGCATGAGTATACTATCCTCCATTCTTTTTAGTTGTAACATTCTATTTTTCACGCTTGCCAATGCACAATTTTGGTCATCGTTATATTTAATTCTCTATTAGTAAAAAAAGATTAAAAAACAAATTATGAAACTTTGTAATGAGACGAATTCAACAATATTTAAAAAAAAATTCACCTACATTAATAAATAAAATGTAATGAAAGTAGAGTACATGAATAGTGTGTAAATTTCAATGTTACAACTAATATGATACGGAGGGAGTATATATTAAGAGAGTCCAAAATACAATATGAAACAAATCTCCTAAATATATTTTATTACACACCCTCAAACTGTGTGGGAGATACAACGTCCATGTTGTCATTTAAAAAATGAAATTGCTTACTAGAAAGACTCTTAAAAAATATCAATTAACTTTAACTATAATTGTGTAGGGTTATACTTCATAACCAAATCTATGTGAGCCACCGGCTCTCTGACAAAGTGATAATCAATCTGAATATGTGTGTTGCGAGCATGTTCAACAAGATTAGCGGTCAAGTAGGAGGCAAAGATACTATCACAAAACAGCTGAACATAAGCTTTGACATGGAAATCGAGCTCAAATAAGACCAGATGAATGTGCAACGTGTCTTGCACAATATATGCAATGACTATTGGACGCTGCTTTTGTTGAGGATTTGGAAACGATAGGTTGCTTCTTGGTAGGGCTGAGCAAAACCCGATCCGACCCGAAAAACCCGATATTTTTTTTGGATATTATCCGAACCGAAGTGAATATCCGACCCGAAAAACCCGAAACCGAAAATCCGATTAGTATTGGGCCTAGACCGGGTGGCAGACAGGGTTTGTGAAATCCCAACCCGACCCGCCCGAATATCCGAAATATATGTTAGTGTGTACTTTGAATATTTAAATTAATAATTGTGTTCAATTATTTGTGTAATTATTTGTGCAATTTGTATTAAATTATTTGTGTAAATTGAATGTGTAGTGAACTAGTGTGTACAATTTTTGTTAAAGTGGCATTCCAACACTTTAACTATCCAATTCAATTATAATGTGTTTTGATATAACCAAAATACCCGAAATATATTAAATTATATAGTGTGTACTGTGTACTTTGAATATGTTAAATTAATACTTGTGTTCAATTATTTGTGTAATTATTTGTGCAATTTGTGTTAAATTATTTGTGTAATTTGGAAGTTTAGTGCACTAGTGTGTACAGTTTTTGTCAAAGTAGCATTTAAACATTTTATTTATCCAATTATATTTTTTTTAATATAACCCAAATATCCGAAACCCGACCCGATATCCGATAATATCCAACTTAAAAATATCCGAAATACCCGATTTGAAATATCAAAGGGTCGGACCTAGTATTTAAATTAAAAAACCCGAACGGGTTTGGGGTTCGCAAACCCGACCCGCCCGAACCCGACCCGTGCACACCCCTACTTCTTGGACTTTCAAGAGATAAGGTTCCGCCCTAAAAATACAGCAAAACCTGTCGTGGAACGGGAGGTGTTCGGATAGTCAGTTCAATCAACATCAAAATAACACATGTAGCTTGTGTAGTAGGACGAAGCCACAATTCATGATCAAGTGTCCCCTGCTGATACCAGAAAATCCTCTTGACTGCAAAAAGATGAGTAGTACGAGGAGCATGCATAAACTAAGACACTGAATGCACAACATATGTAATGTCAGGTCCGGTCAAAGTTAAATATTACAACACACTAATCATACTACGATCGATACTCAGTGGCATCTGCAAGAAGCTTCTCATATGTGAGAGCGAGAGAAGTGTGAGTAGCAAGTGGAGTACGAACTCACTTAACAATATGTAAATGGAAACAAGAGAGAAGATCATAGACATATTTTGCTGAGAAAGAAACACACCCTTTTCTGAATGTGCAGTCTGGACTCTTAGAAAATAATGAAGATCATCCAGATCTTTTATAGCAAAATACCGAGCAACAAGTCGAATAAAAGAAGTGGCAACAAAGCAAGAATTTACAGTAATAATAATGTCATCCACGTATAGTAATAAATAAATGACACATTTATTCTGCCGGTAAATTGATGTGAGTTTTCTTGCACTTAAAAAGATTGTAGAATAGTGGTGTAAGTACGAGTATCGTCTCCACAGGGACGGACAAAAGGGAATTAAGAATTAACTAAATTCAGCGATTAAAAATAAATAAATAAAAAATTTGCATCGTGCGAGATTGGTTGGTTGAATAAAAATTAAACTAATGCGAATGAACGATTAAAATAAAAGTGGTTTCTTCTCAATTAATGACGAAGGGAACAGGGATTGATTCCGGGGTAACCTGATTTCTGGCAGATCAGGCCTAATTACATGAAATTGATTTAATTGAGCCTAGCTAATCATTACTAAGTTCTTACCGCTCTCGCGGCGTAGAGTACAATAATTTAGGGGACCAGGCTGATCTCTCATGCGACAGGATCCTAAATTATTGCCAAGACGAGCGAGCTTACGGCCCCTTAATCGCTACTAATCTCTTAGCGAACGATTAAGTGTGTGTGAATGTGTCCTAGAACAAATTAGATCTCTCTTAATTTATTCTATAAGCAATTGTAATTCTAGTGGCCATCTAGGTTACAAGAGATATCAGTTAAATTATTCATACACAAATTAAACGGCATTCATGCAATTAAACCAACAAGAATCTAGGCATCAATCATGATTAACCCCTTCATCAACCCCAAATCCCTAATTAAACTACTCACAATTCATAATTGAAGAATCAACAGAATTGGGATGAATAGAAATAATTGTCATTAATTAAAAAGATGAACTTACAAATAATCCCAGGGTCTTGGAAGAAAATAGCGTAAAAACGGTGTTAAATTCGTCCCTCGGCCTCTCCGTAATGTTCGTAACCCCTCAAAAGGGTTAGGGAGGCCTTATTTATAGAAAAAAAGGGGAAAAACCGAATTTGGGCCGAAATAGGAAATTTCCGCGCGTGTCACGGAGCTACGCACGATCGTGCGTCCCTGCCTACGCACGATCGTGCGTAGCAGGCAGAGGCCTCATCGCGGTTTAGTAATGGACGCACGATCGTGCGTCCCAGACGCACGACCGTGCGTCTGACTTTTTCGCTCCGTTTTCTCGTTTTCTTGCTCCAAACGTGCCCGGATTCAAACGAGGTCGATCCCAATGCTCTTTCTTCATCAAAATTTCGCCGTGAATCACCTGGTGACCTCCAAATCTCTCAATTCTTCCTTGAATGCTCTCTATCTCCTCCCGATTGTCTCTTTAGCGCCGATTGCCGGACTCTAACTTCTTCAAATCAACTCCAAATGCAACGAAACTCGATCCAACGCCTGCTAAACACAACTTGAGCCAAATTTGAGACTTGTAACGCCTTAAAGCCGAGAAAATCATCAAAATCCGACCCGGACACGCATCAAATGCGTGTCCAAATACGGACTTATCAGACTCCCCCACACTTAAGCTTTTGCTTGTCCTCAAGCAAATCGAACAACGGGACTTACGATAATCACCACACGGAATTTAAAACAGTTAGCATACATACGTAGTTAAGGGGATATTCACAGGACAGACAATTTAAATCAAGAAAATTCTTCCCTAAACTACACCTTTTGTACTCAAGCTAAACTATTTGACACAATTATTCACAACATCCTCAAAGTAATGACAGCATTCACTAATAAGCTAGCTACTGATCAGAAGGACTTGTGAATTTGATGGTGAATGGATAATAATGAAAGTAGTCCCTTTATTTTGAGAGGTAGGAATATTCTAACAAAGATCCAATGTTTTCAGGAACTTCAGGGCTATTCTTAGAATCAAAGGACTCAGTAGGCCACAATTTAGGAACAATCATTTAAACCTATGCAAAGAGTAGACATGGTGTACAACTAAGCTAAACCGTCTCGGCCCATTTGTGCTTTGACGTATACTTGAAGTACGCGGAGGACTAAAGCTAAATTTTGAGATAGCCTCCAAGTTCATTAATTTAAGTTTAGTTTTCCTTGTCATGTTGGCACGAGAACGCCGTTTCTTTCGAAAGATACCCAAGTCTCATCTTACGCTTTTTGACCAGGGTTCCCATTCTCTTTTTCGCAAAGTAAGAGGTCTAGCTATATTAATTTTTCACCTTTCGGATTCTCACTAGACATTACCCCATTCTAATCTCGGCCTCACCAAGGAAAAATAGCAATTAAAGTTCATTCATTTAAAAGTGAATCCATGCCTACAATGCAATCCTCGAAAGTATCAAATTCCTAAAAAGTGATTGCTCTTACCCCATTCTGAGCATAGGAACAGTGCCAAAAATGGCTCCTACACAAAATTCCCTAAACTTATCAAATTAATCCCTTAATTCCCTAAACATCAGGACTAAGTCAGAAATATTCACGGGTAAGGAAACAGGCCATTTGGCTATGGAGCTAAATTAATTGGGTAAACAAAGAACGGTCAGGCTCAAAATGGCTTCTCCTAAAGGGTCTTATTCAGGTAGGGTGGATGATTAATGGATTAATTCAATGGGTAACTAATGCCTTCATCCTTTCAACAACTAGATTGTAGTGTAAGCAATTTAAGCCTAAATACTTCAAAGATGTTCTAAAAGCATAGTCAAAATGCTAGCCAACTCACAAAGACACAGTTTAAAGAAAAATTATCAAAAATTTTGCATGAATTTCATATGAATATACAATTAACACCTGCGCATGCTAACCCTAACAAATCACATG